TCACAGTTCGAAGTTCACCGTGCACCCGAGAAGTATGAAGATGTACCAAAGCATGCAGCCCAATTCTGGTAGAGCGGGATGAAAAGGAAAATTGCTGATTTTATCTCTAAATGCCTTATATGCCAACAGGTCAAAGCAGAACATCAATGCCCAGGCGGGCTACTTCAGCCGCTGCCAATCCCATAATGGAAATGGGAACATATCACCATAAACTTTATAATATGATTTTCTAAGACACGTTCGGTACACTATGCGATCTGAGTTATTGTTGATCGACTCAGTAAGTCCTTCCATTTCCTAGCCATAGGAATAACAGATCCTTTAGACAAGCTAGGTAAAATCTATATTCGAGAGATAGTCAAACTGCATGGAGTTCCGGTGACAGTGGTATCAGACAAGGACCCCAGGTTCACCCCTAGGTTTTGGATAAGTCTTCAATAAGAAATGGGGATAAAATTGTCTCTTATTATAACATTCCACCCCCAGATAGATAGACAATTAGAGCGAACTATTCGCACACTGAATGATATACTTAGGGCTTGTGTTCTAGATGTCGGAGGGCACTAGGATGACCACCTACCCTTGGTAGAGTTCACCTACAATAACAGTTATTAAGTAAGTATTGGTATGGCTCCATATGAGGCATTGTATGGCCGACCCTACAGGTCATCGATCTATTAGGAAGAGGTGGGTGATAGTAAAGATTGCCAAGATCAGGAAAAATATTCAAACGGCCCAGAGTAGACATAAGAGTTATGAGGACACCTGAAGGAAAGTTTAGAATTTGAGAAAGGTGATCAAGTATTCCTTAAGGTCACTCCCTTTAACGGTATCACCAAGTTTGGAAAGAGGGGAAAGTTGAATCCCTAATTCATCAGACCATTTGAAATCTTGGACAGAATTGGGATATCCGCCTACAAACTAGCACTGCCTCCAGAACTTTTCAGAGTCCATAACATCTTCCACGTGTCAATGCTATGTAAGTATAACCTTGACCTCTCACATGTTTTATCTTACAAGCCACTTATACTTTAGGAGGATTTATCTTATGAGTAGGTACCAGTTAGTATTTTTGGACTAAAAGATCAGAATGCTTCATAAGAAAGAAATTTATTTTATCAAAGTTCTACAGTAAAATCACTCGCAGAATGAGACCACTTGAGACTTAGAATCAAACTTCAGGGCTAGATATCCTCAATTGTTTGACTAGGGGACAACAATTTGAGAGACCAAATTTTCTTAAGAGGAGGAGAGTTGTAACATCCTAAACCCGAGGACTAGACTCGAAATAATGTATTTTGTCT